AGCACCCCACCACAGCTAGCAGCATGCTGGCACAGCTGGCGATACCCCGGCACAGCTAGCAGCACCCCAACACATCTGGCAGCACCCCAACACATCTGGCAGCACCCCAGCACAGCTGGCAAGACTCTGCTCACCTGCCTGGCACTTCTGCTGGCTGGGCTGGCACGGCCCTCGGCTCGCCCCACCGGCAGCACCCTTGCTAGCACACCCTGGTTCGGGCACGTTTGCTCGCACACCCTCGCACCTTTGCTCTTGCACTTTAGCTCGTGCGCCCTTGCTCAGGCATCCTTGCTTCTAGTAAACAAGTGACAGGACAAGAGGAACCGGCCTCAAGTTGTGCCGGGGCAGGTTTCAATGGGATATCAGGAAAAATGTCTTCACCCAAAGGGTTGTCAGTCCCTGGGACAGGCTGCCCTGGGAAGCGGTTGTGTCACCATCCCTGGAGGGATTGAAAAGTCGTGTAGATGTGTGGATGGTTTAGTGGTGGGCTTGGCAGGGCTAGGGTGGGTTGTAGTAAGGGAAGAAAAGCTTTGATTATTTTCTCCTCAATTCTGTAGTTCTCTCCCTGCCTCAATCTTCCCGATTTCTCTTTGGGCATTGCAATGATTTGAGTTTCTTTTGTGGCTTTTTTTAGCTTTATTGCTGATGAAAACAAGTCATAGATGATCAGGCTGCCAGTGCCTGTCAGTTGGTGTGTCGCAATTCCCCACACCCCTTGATATTTTTTGACCCTGTAGCTAATTTAAGCCAAATTTGACAGCGGAATAGACATCTTGGAGATAAATAAGTACCTGCGAGGTTGTGAAAATAAATAGCTGGGTATAGAAAGGGAAACCCTACCAAAACCTCTCCCTGAGCAAACATTAAGTTCTTCTTCCTAATTAGACATCGGAGAATCAACACGCGAGTAGGGGGGACCCGTAGCCGTAACCGCTGTGGTGGGGCAGAGACAGACTTTGCGGGAGCTCCCGGTCATGGGTGCTGCAGTCACAGAGGAGGCAGGAAAGCTGCAGCCAGGCTTCTTATTTACGGCATTGCCCATGAAATGATTTGTTTCACCAGATGGCCCTGTCCCACCCCTCTCCCTTCTCTGTTTCCAGTAACAGGAACATTAATAAATACAGTAAACCATAGTAATATATTGGCTGGCTTACAAGGTGACAGATACTGGTTGTGTTGCAAAATGCCCAGGAGAAGATGAGTCCGGGTGTTTCAGGGTATCTTTCCATCTGGGGTCCTGACGCAGCCTGCCATATCAGCCTGCCTGCAGACCTCGTAGTCTGTGTCCTTATCTTGGCAGTGTGCAAGTTTTGCAGTGCTGTTATCTCTATTTTTCAGAAAGAGAACTGCGTTAAAGAGAGGGTAAATGACTTGCACACCATTGCACAGGACCTTTTTGGCATGCCTTTTTTTTTTTTTTTGCTTTTTTTTTAATTACCCCAAAGATGCATGTCCTGTGCCATTCACTCTCCTTCCTCTCAGATGCCTCCAGAAGCTACATGTGACCATGAGAAGCAGGGTCTATTCTTTCCTAGGTTCTTCCTTATATGATTCATAGTTTGCTCTGAGCGTACAAACTTCTGAATTTCCCCTTCCTCTTGGTCTGAGACGCCGTTTCTTGCAGCTGGCCAGCTCCCACAGCTGGAGCTCAGGGCTGCGCGGTGCGGCTGCGTGGGAAGCAAGTCTGCATGGGCCTCCGGTTGCCCTCACACATCTCTGCTCTCCTTCCTCTCTAGGTCTGCCTCGTGGACACGCTAAACTTGTCTGCTAACTCCTCCCGTGACAAGCTTAGTGAAGGAGTTTCTTAAACCAGAAGAACATTGTAGATGTTTGGGCAGCAGCTCCTCAATTTATTTGTATCCCATCTCCGTTTCGAGTCCAGGGTTGTGTCAGCCTCTGCACATGAAGCTGGATTTGCTGCCTCCTCTGTCTCTTTTTGTCTCTATTCCGTGATGTATTGCCTTCATAGGCAGCATTTACGCAGGACCGCTCGCTGTGCCAAAGGCGAGTCTTGCTCCTGGCTCAGCACTTGAGATGAGAAGTTACAGCCCTTGCCCCAGCCAGAAAGTGAGTGATTTCTGAGGCTAAGACAAGGCGTGATTTTACAGTCCAGACCTGTTGCTTTGATGGCAGTCTGGAAAGGATGGAGTCTGGAACAGGCTGCCAGCACATGTCCCCAAACAGGTCTACATGGACAACCACCAAAGGGAAAGCTCACGTCCTGGCCCACGGGCTGCAAGCAGAACTGCAGATAGCGCTGTAGGCTGGTACCTAGCAGACAGCAGACCTTCTCCCTCTTGATAATGGTATTTTGTTGGAGGGCTGTGACCCCATGCTCTCGGCCTCACGGTTCTCACGGTCAGTGAATCCCTGAGACAGGAGAAGGTTGTGCTTCCCCGGGGCAGCTGAAGGTGCCAGAGGGGCAGGGAGCGAGAGGAGAGCTGCGAGGCAGCCTGCAGCATCCCTACCAACTGGGTCGTGCTTTGATCAAAGCGCGTTCACAGCAGGGAGCAGAGCCACTGTGCAGAGGGGAACGGACAGAGTAAATGGTTTTTTACTGATCCTGACAGAGCTGTGTATTATTTGAACTAAGCTGAGGAGCCACAAGCCAGGTGAGCTGGAAGAAATGTTCGGAAGGAGGCTCCTTCCCGCAGGCAGGCGGTGCACAGTGTGCTTTCAAACCTTTCTCTTTAAACTGTATTTTCCTTCTTGGAAAAATAGCTTTTTCAGTTTAGTCTGTGCTTTCATAGAGCATTGCTTTAGCAAGTGGTGGTTTGGTGTCTGTTTGATGTGCTCGTTTTCAGGAGAGAAGGTGGAAGAAGGAGATGCAGGTCCAGCACAGGTACTGCGTGCTTTGCAGCACAGGCGGGGGATGTAGAAATGAGGGAGAGGGAAGGGCACATGCCGGTGGAGGGATGCAGTCAGAATAGCTCGGAGAACCACAGAGCAGCGTTCAGCTGCTCCTTCTGTCTCATCCCTTGCCACCTTCAGTCCCCTTTCCCCTCTGTATTTTTTCTGTGAGCTGTGGTAGAGCTCTGACTAGGCTGCGGTCATGGCTTTCGACCACTCTCCCTTCGCTGGCGTGGACCATCTCGTGTCCTGCAGCCCTTCCTCACCAAGGGCTTTTGGGCATCTTCCGGGGGTGGTGCTCCTCTGGGCTCCCTCCAGGTGATCCAGGTCTCCTGGGCACTGGCCTGTGCACAGGAACTGCTATGCCACACGTGAGTGCAAGTGAAAAATAAGAATATTTATTAATGTTAAGAATGCTTTATTAAGCAGTTTTTATCTTTTTTTTTTTTTTTCTTTTTTTTCCCTTGGTTTTTTTTGAAGTAGAAAATAATTTTTCCTTTACTCTCCTGTGGAAAAAAAGTTATTTCCACTTTTGCATGTCCCACCAGATTCAGAAGGAGTTATTAAAGCCTTCAAAACAGCTGAAACCAGCATTTTGGTCCCTATGAAAGTCCCTGATTTAAACTCTGATTCCTAGCAGGCTTGTCAGGTCCATAGACACGGGGTAGGTCCCGGGGGAAAACTGGGACTGTTTCTCCCTGGTACAAGTCTGTTGTTTCTGTCTCTGGAGGCCTGAAAAATAGCCTTCAATTATTTTTTCCTGCAGACAGGAGTTGGGGTGCAGGCTGTATTTTGTCAGTCCTGGCATTCAAGCGAAGTAGTTGAGGGCAGGACAGCATGGAGAGTTCATGCTCGTGGGGGGGCTTGCCGTTCAAACAGAAAGCATCTCTCCAAGTGATTCAGGACAGAAGATGCGTAAGGGCAGCCGAGTTTTCAGAAGGCACAAAAGGAAAGAGAGGGTGAGCAGTGTTTAAATCAGGCTTTTCCATTTCTTCACCCACCACGTGGCAGCCCGTGCCCTCCCCTAAGCGAGCGTCTGCGGCGCCGAAGGCACCACGTGTGATCTGGAGATCAGAGGCAGCTTCAGAGACGGAGCTTTCGTTTGTGTTGCGCTAAGAGAGGAGCAGGAGATTGGCTGTAATCCCAGTATAGGTATGAAGAGACGGGAACGATAATTGGACATGGCAAAACTGTTCTCGTCATGCCGGCGGAGCTTGCAGTGCTTAGTAATTGTGAAATGCTGTCACCTCAACGACGGAGGCAGAGGGGCCACCTCTGATGGGACCGATGGTGGAAGCTCACTGGGATGCCCGTCGTGCAAACACTGATGCCTTTGTCAGGGATGCCACGGCATTTCTGTCCTGACCAAGCACCTTGCACAGCAGTATCTCTTCCGTGGCGAGCGAGCTCTTCTCCTCGCTGCCGTGGCTGATAATTCAGAGAGGCACTGGGGGCAATTAGAAAGTCTCCGTCTTGCAAGACTGTGGGGAGCAGGAAGGATGGGTCCTTGTGCATCGCAGCTCACTGTGCGGCTGTGCCAGGTATTCCTGCTCCAAGGGGATGTCTAACTCCTGCTGGAAACAGATGTTCACATATTCCTTCCGGATTTGTTAATGCAAATCTCTATGAAAAAATACCACTTTGATAAACCTCCTGTGATAGAGAGATGCCAACTGCATTTCGGTTTCAAGTCTTGAATTCTGAGCTGATTTCTGAATTGGCACGGTTCTTCTTCATTGCGCGGCCATTACGAGCTGGATAAAACCAGCAGCCAGTCAGTTATAAAAAAAGGGGTTTTACTGCCAAATACTCGTAAAAAGGAAAGCCATAACCTGCAGTGATAAAGTGCTAGCTGCGACCGGTGGTCCAAATGCGCTGATGTGCGCTGGTACGGCGTATTGCCATGTCAGAGACGCAAGTAAGTGTCATAGCTGGGGCTGTTAAATCTTATTTTAACCACTTCAAGCAGCTGAGCACCTCGTCTCACAAATATAGTAGCATTGCACAGTCTTCCGATATATGTAGTCACTAGGCATTGCTGTCTGTGTATAAATTAATTCTTCAGCTATAATTATGACTGTACAAGCAAGAAAGCCACCTGATATCTCCGTAATGCTAATTGTTGAACCATTTCTTTTTCTCCTTTGAAGTCCCACCTAATTTGACTGTTCCTCAAGAAAAGTCACCCCTGGTCACCCGGGAAGGGGACACGATCGAGCTGCAGTGCCAGGTGACAGGGAAGCCCAAGCCCATCATTCTCTGGTCCCGAGCAGACAAGGAGGTCGCGATGCCAGACGGGGGGATGCAGACGGAGAGCTACGATGGGATCCTGAGGATAGTGAACGTGTCCAGGGAGATGACGGGAACCTACAGGTGCCAGACCAGCCAATACAACGGGTTTAATGTGAAACCCAGAGAAGCTTTGGTACAGCTCATTGTACAGTGTAAGTAGACCCTTATTTTCTTTCCATGTGGTTTTGCTGAGAAAAAGAAGTTGATTTATTCCTCCCCTAAATTCACAGCAGCAAGAGTCTTATGGTTGGTACGTTTTTGTTGCTGTGTTGTTTGGCTCTGTAGTTCCCTGATTCCATGATTTTAATGTAAATATGGAAATAAAAATGACATAGGAGTCCCATTTGTATTAAAAAAAAAAAAAGTGTGAGGCAATCATTATTTTTCCAATGCCTAGCTTTAAATTTCTTGACACAGGAACAAGCGCATGAGATAGGAGGACATATTTCTATAAACGCAGATCTAATACTGATCTCATTTGTTAATACCGTGTAAAACAAGAGGAAAAAAAATGAGAGAAAGAGCTGTTCCATCTTAGCTGATCTGCATGCAGATCTGCAAAGTCTGCTCTGACTCTGAACACAAACCGTCAGAATGGGAAGGAAAACATAAGGGGAAATCAATTATTTTGGAAATGCTCAGCATTTATTATTGGAAAATGAAAAGTCTGGTTTGATACGGTTTGTGGGAAATAATGAGCCATTCTTTCTTGCTGTGTATCCGATAAAGATGTTCACTGAATGACTTTCGTGTGTCTGTTGTATAGTTGGTACTTATTTTCACTTTTTTTATAAAGTGGCTTGTGCAGCCCTCATTTATTCTGGTTTCAGATGCTCAAATATTATGGCAGATTTGCTTTTTTTAACAGTGTTCTGTGCTCAGCACAACTGACCTCCTTTGGGGCCTCCAGGGATAAGATGCCTCAATATACATAGTTATTAGTAATAATCAACTGATTTGTTTTTTCCAAGGTCTGTTGTATAACAAATTATTTATGCACTTGATTACATGTTGTGGTATCTGCAACGCTTTCATCAGAGCTATTTACTGGTGTGCTGGCACAGCTTTTTATCAAAGCACGCTTCTGTCCCAGCCAGCCGTCACATGGATTAGTGACACCAAGAGCTTCCTGAGAGTCAAGGCTGCAGGGAAGCTGGAGCCTTCTCACCGGGGCTTCGCCCGGTCATGGGTTCATCTGCATCAGGACTGGCTTCATCCTGCCTGCACTGATGTATCTAAATTGGGAGCAGAGGTGTCTTGGGCTCCATCTCTAGAGATTGCAGAAAATGGCTTGGATCTTAGATAATCCTCCAGAGAGGTCTTTACCTATAGAGCATAAAAAGATCACAGGGGGATTGGTCTCCTCCTGATGGCAGTTTTAAAGCATGCAGATTGTAGTAGACTGGTTCCTGTACGAATGGGCTGGACCAGCCTGCACGAGCTGCCGTAACTCAGAGCTGTGGTCGCACTGGGGGGCCCTTGCTGGCACAAGAACTTTTACTCATGTCATTTTTTCCATGATCATGGTTATTGTGATGATGGCTTTTGTGATTATCATGACTAAGACTACTGATGACACAGCTTCTCTTTCACATCTCATATAACAAGCCATCGTCATTATAGGTGTTTAATTTTAGCTGCACAGAAAAGGTGATTTACAGAAGGTAAACGTCATGAAAAGGTAGAAGATGAAAGATGAGGAAGGGCAGAATGTAGGATGTGGGATGTCTGTCCCGTAAATGGATGTGTCACCAGGGCACAGGTCATTGTCAGGGCAGCTAGAGCTGGTGGTACCGTGTCCTGGGCCCACGCAGCAGGAACGGTGCAAGAGAGGAGGCGTCGATGCTGGGGAGGATGCAGAGAGCAGCAGCGCAAAACCATCACAGGGATTTTCAGTTGCTGCAGTTTATCAGGTGTATGCACAGAGGCTGGATGTGGCATATTTTGGCTACCACAGCTTTGCTAGGACATGTCTTTGCTCTCCATTGCAAACATTAAAAACACAAGAAAAGATTGCTCAGTACGGTTGTAAATTAAAGCAAAACAGGGTTGTGAAAACTTGCCGTGATACTCCCCAGCCTGTCACTCTCGGGACACTGGGTTGGGACAGCTCGGGACGATGGCAGCAGCGTAGCTCATGGAAATGGTCGGGTAAGACTAGTTCCTCAGAGAGCAACAGTGGTGGGTGAGAAAGGTGATAATGTGCAAGATTTTTGGATAGCTTGGACTAAAGATTGGCCTAGGTGGTGTTGCAGGCCTTGATGATCTTGAATGGCAGAGAGGAGGCACGAAAACAAACTCAGTAAGAGCTGATCTGCAGAGTCCCCTGTGAATCTGCAAAAAAGAACCACTGTGCAAACAGTGGAGCAATGGTCCTCATGAATAAGGAGGAGGGAAAGTGGCTTCTTTCCCCTTTTCTGTCACTGATTTACTGTGAGAACTAGAAAAGATTTTGTTTTCTGGCCACTTGGACCCTCCATCTTAGCCATTTAGTTTATATTCTCTTTTTGCCAGTGTACATCATCTTTCCCATATGCAGAGTCCAGCATGGTTAGTATAACATCCTGGTTTGAGTTGGTTGCAATGATGTGTGGATGATGGACATGTGGATGATGAAGGCTTCTTCAAGTAATTCAGTTCATGTACAAATAGGTGTGTGGAGGGTGTTTCTGATAAAACAAGACCTTCAGTGGGAAAGCTCTGGAGGTAAATCCAGTCCTGCAGTTACAAACAACAAACCCACAAAGTAATGGCTGGGGCAAGCTGGCCATCCCATCCCCAATGCCAAGACTTTCTTATCTCAGTCCTTGGGAGCATTATGAGCCCAGAAGGAGCTCTGTTACGTGTGTTTTCAGGTAATAAAAGTAAATTTCAGCTTTGCTTGCTTTTTTTTTTTTTTTTTTAAAATCCTCAGAAGCTCAATTCACTGGGAAATACTGGAAGAACAAGTATTCAGAAGCACGCTTGACATGGCTCTGTATAACAGCTGCAATGTGTCCCACATTTTGCCCTGGAAGACTTTATTTCAAATCTTTGAAAGTCATAGAAACTCTTCTGTTATCCAGTGAGCTCTGCATCACTTACCCTGCTCTCTATTTCAAAGCCTTTAAGCAGATGCTGTTACTTTCTTCAGCAGGGAGGTGGTGTAGTTTAGCCCCAGCCAGTAATGGAGCACCACGCACCCCCCACCCAGTGGGATGGGGAAGAGAATGGAAAAAAACCTCATGGGTTGAGATAAAGACAGTTTCATAAGATAACAAAGGAAGATGATGAAGGTGATGATGATGATGAAGGTGGTGATGATGATAATAATAATAATACCAAGTGATGCACAAATGCAATTGCTCACCATCTGCAAAAACCCCTGATGCCCAGCGATCTCGCCTCCTGGCTCTCTTCCCCAGTTCTGTCTGGACCATGACGCTCTATGGCAGGGAACATCTCTATGGCCTGCCTGGGTCAGCTCTCCTGGCTCTGCTCGCCCAGCTTCTTCTGTGCCTGGCAGGGCCTAGGAAGCTGAAAAGTCCTCGACTTAGTGTAGACACTACAACTAGCCAGCAACAACTAAAACATCAGTGTGTTATCAATATTATTCTCATCCTAAATCCAAAACAAAGCATGATGCTGGCCACTAGAAAGAACATTAACTCTATCCCAGCTGAAACCAGGACAGTAGGTAATCATGCATTTCATGTTAGAGGAAGAGATGGTTGAGTCTGAGTCTTGGGGAATGTTTCCCAGGATGTGGATGAGGACTTCATTGAATCACAGGATGGTTTGGATTGGAAGGGACCTCAAAGCCCATCGAGTTCCAACCCCCTGCCATGGGCAGGGACACCCTCCACTAGGCCAGGTTGCCCAAAGCCCCATCCAACCTGGCCTTCAACACTGCCAGGGAGCCAGGGGCAGCCACAGCTTCTCTGGGCACCCTGTGCCAGGGCCTCAGCACCCTCACCGGGAAGGATTTCTGCCTCCCATCCCATCTCCATCTCCCCTCCTGCAGCTTCAGGCCATTCCCCTTGGCCTGTCACTCCCTGCCCTTGTCACCAGCCCCTCTCCAGCTTTCCTGGAGCCCCTGCAGGGACTGGAAGGGGCTCTAAGGTCTCCCCGCAGCCTTCTCTTCTCCAGGCTGAACCAGCCCAACTCTCTCAGCCTGTCTCCATAGCAGAGGTGCTCCAGCCCTCCCATCATCTCCGTGGCCTCCTCTGGACTCTCTCCAACAGCTCCATGTCCTTCTTGTCCTGAGGACTCCAGAGCTTTCCACCAGCTGCACTTCTTCAGGACGTGAGCCAGTCCCTGGTGGACCCAGTGGGATAACTCCCGCTGACATCCAAAGGCATCAGGCAGCTGGTGGATGCATGGATTGCTATTATTTAAAATATTTTACTGGAGGAAAAAAGCTCTGGTTTCATGTATTTTTAGTGCTGCGTTAGATGCAGCAGTTCACATATTCTGAAGGAGATGAGAGACACAAGTTGAGAACGCTTATAATAAGCAGGAGTATAACAGGTATTTAAAGGAGATTTTTCTTTAATGTGTTCTTCTTTAGATTTCTGCTCACTTTATTCAGATCCCAGTGACAATTTGGAGACGAATAGACAAAGCAGATATTATGTAATGCTTTGATTATTTTTCTTGTGGGAGGAAGGTACGTGTGTTCATATTGACTTCAGCATCATTTCCGTAACGAGCATGGCATTTATTCAATTGTCATAAAAATCAGTTATTTTCAGTAATTTTATAATATTTATTTTAGATGCTTCTATCAGTTATAAGCAGGGAAAGATAGTTGGTGAAACACTTTAATTTCTATAACAACTCATTGATTTCACTTTTTATATGGTGCGTGGGTGTGTGAGCAGATACGCTCATGGACGTTGGTAGCTGGGTACATTCCCGTTCTCTGGGGCGTCAGAAGAGTTTCTCCTTGTGGGCGTAGGCCTTCCTGTCTCATCAAAGCGGTGTATTACTCTATTTTGCTCCACAGGGCAAATTTTTCAGTGGAGCTAGTGCTGTAGGTCATATCTGTTAGTTCAAACTAAAGAAAAATTAAAGATAAATTCAAAGATAAAGTTTTGTTTGTTTGGGTTTTTTTATTTGACCTGCTCTCAGTTCATCTGACCGGTTTTAACAGAGTTTTTCTTTTCCTCACCTCTCTTT